CACACACACACACACAAGCACCCACTGAAGTATAAATAAAGACCGGGGCAGTTTCTCAGCGCGAGTCTCAGTTCTGGAGACTGCCCTTGCTAGCAAGAAGGTCTGTGTGCTTCTCTTCTCTGACTCTTTACTGAAGAAGTGTTTTAGAATATATTTCTTAACATTATAATTATGGGATAATTTGGTAAATTGATATTTACTTTAAAGGTTTTCTGTGGTTTTAGGCTGAAGTCAGCTGCAGGGGTTCTGCACAAATTAGCAAAATTAAAATTTCAAATGCCTCGAATTAATAAATACTGATCAACTGTGCAGTCATACAAATAAACTACCTGAATGTTGTCTTCTTAATTTGAACATGAACTCTGCTGCCTCTCTGTCTTCTATCTCCAGTCACTGTCTGAGCTGCAAGGATAACACTGAGCCGGCTTCTCTTCACAGGGTGTCTTCCCAAACTTACTTCATCATTTCTCTTCAGGCAGCTCTTTCCTTTGTCTCTTATTGTCACTTTGGATTTCTTCTGTGCAATAATATTAATCCTCCATGTCTCTGATTCTTCAGATTTTTGCTTTATTCTCTAACTTTAAGAAGATGTGCTAAGGTCTTGGCAATAAAATGACAGTTTGAATACAGCAAGAGTTAAACCATAAGAGTTAAGATAAAAATTTCCTTCAATGTTTATAGACAAATCAAAATGCAGCCAGACTTTGATATTTTTTATTGGCAGAAATAATCCAGGAGATCACTGAAATCAGGAATCTGACATTTCCATCATATTTGTTCAGCAGGTAAAAAGACGAAATCCACAGTTAACAAGACTAAATCCTGATTGTGCTGATGTGATCTGGAATATGAAGTGAGAGTTCACAGAAACACACTGGAACAAACAGCAGCTCAACTGTACAAATGTTCAACAATTATGAAATAAATGTTTCTGGTCAGTCAGAAGCAAAGAAAACCACGATTCTGTCAATGCCACAGACATCTAACTGTTTTTCAGCTCACATGTTATTAAGGGACGTCAATGGGGAATTGCTCCAATAAGACTTTTTTTTTAAGACACAATGGCACACTGTTGGGCCATAAATATTTCAAAAACATAATAGCTTTCCACTTTGGCCTCCTGCCCTGGTTTCTATAGATACACTTAATGTAACGTGCAGTATCGGCTATTTGATTGGTTGATGAAGTGCCTTTCAATGCCCCCTAGGTCTCAGAGGGCCTCGTTCAGGTCAAAGGTATGCACAGCCTGGCTTTTAATAAGGATGGGGCATACTGGAACTAAAGAGGTGTTACTTAA